TTTCTGGATTAGTTGTGCAACCTATTCATTATTACTGTAAGTGAATAAATACATTTTTCTTGAGTTGATTACCATAGAAGTTGCTTAGGTAACAATGTCGGGACAGTTCCCTGACTTACTGCCCCTGGGATGGCTGAGGTGCACTGTAGAGCCATCAAACTAACTCCGCAAAACTGCCCACAGTTAAATAGTTTTCTTTTAAGAATTGGTATTGACCTTACTTAAAGAAACTTACATTTAAGCTTTGTGTACAAAGAAAAGTATAAAGTTAGAGATGAAGAATAAAAAAAAAGTAAAACTGGATTAATTGTGTATTATTAGGGTATTGCTATGAGAGTATCAGAACGTTTTCCATCCCATTTAAAAACTCAAATGGGTCTCATTTTCATATATTAAGACCTTTTTTTTGTCAAAAAAACTGGGAAGTTTTTCTTCATCCATTTAATAATAATAATAATAATGACAATACTAATACTAATAATAATACCTAATTCTACAAGTACATGTACAAGGTATACAGTCCTAGGTGACATCAATGACTACTATATAGAAAGCCACTTGTTATGCAGAGCATTTCGGGCATGTTACCTGGAGTTTACCTGGAGAGAGTTCCGGGGGTCAACGCCCCCGCGGCCCGGTCTGTGACCAGGCGGCCTGGTGGATCAGAGCCTGATCAACCAGGCTGTTACTGCTGGCTGCACGCAAACCGACGTACGAGCCACAGCCCGGCTGGTCAGGAACCGACTTTAGGTGCTTGTCCAGTGTCAGTTTTGTCCCAGGATGCGACCCACACCAGGTACCCATTATTACTGATGGGTGAACACAGACAACCGGTGTAAGGAAACACGCCCACTGTTTTTACCCTCGCCAGGAATCGAACTGGGACCCTCACCGTATGAAGCGAGATCTTTCGCCACCAGGCCACGGTGGCCCGTGGCCTGGTGGCCCGTGTTGGGGCCACGGCCTCGGATCTGTATAGAGGTCATTAGGAGAGAGGCGCTCTGATCGTTATGGCACATGGTTACCTGTCAAGCAAGAAGAGACAAAGAAATAGAACTGTCTACCCAATGGTTAGGAAACAAGTGACGGTGTAGTGTGAAGTTGTAAATCGTAAGTGTGGGTGTATAGGAATCGTCCAAGTATGGTGTAGGATTTTCTCCAGACAAGCTCAACTTTGTTTTAAATGAGTAATATTGCGGAGCTGCAGTGAGCTGAATATTTCCTACTTACAGGTTACGACGTGGAGGGCCCCTTGAGTGTGATGCTGGGCTCCTGGGCCCGTGCCGAGGACTACGCTCACTATATCATAGAAGTAAGTCCCAGCGCGTTCATCTCAGTTTTATCAAAATATAATTAATCTTCGCTTTAAATTGGAGGTCTGACTAAGAATTCTGAACTTTTATTATTCTTTACGATTTTCTTAATTTAGATGAATTAACATAATGCTTAATAATTTTATATTTCGATATCTAGAACGACTAAGAATATAAGCTGCATTTCCATGATGCATTTATATAAAATACTGAATTTTGCTAAGTTTAATGTCCACATATACACTGCAGTGTTCAACAATAGAAGAAAAATCTTGTTGAAATTATTAGATTTTTAATAGTTATACCTGTCATTGTATAATTTGTACGACCACACTCGAAATTTCTTGATAGGGTCAAATAGCATAATTTTAATACACAGTTATTATGTTATTCAAATTTACATATACTGAATTTAGGAAAATTCAAAAATTTCCACAATATTTTCGGAAAAAAAAAATGTATCTGGCTTTGTATATATAAAAAAAATCGTGTTGATTACTTTCACGTTACTTGTGGTTCAACGTAACTAACCCGCGTCCTTGGAAGAGGTCACGGTATAATGTGTAGACATTTTAGTTTATATTTTGAGTTCATACTTCATAATATTATTTTGCTGTCACCTTCTTTTTATAACAATGAATACATGTGAATCACCTACAGAAAAGAGCTAATTAAAATCAGGGACATTTTTGATCTATGAACGTTTAATTTGGCAGTAAAAGTAACCTAATAACATAATTCGCAACTCTCCAACAAACTGTAAATCAAATTAAGATGACATTTCCATCCGTCCCGATGAGGTTTAGGTCCTGGACGGATGTAAACGTCATCCTGGACGGATGTAAACGCCAGTTTCCCAAAATTTACTGAACATGAAATATTTTAATTTGACTAACCGATCCAAGATTATATATATCTTTAGTTAACTGTTTTCCCCCTGAATGACTGATAAAACAAACGAGTCTTCATTCCCTACAATTGTAATGGTAACATTGACAGTAAAAACACCCACATATGTCTTCGTCCCTGCAGAGTATGAATCATTTCTCGACGGGTTGGGTGGACTGGAATTTGGCTTTGGACATGCAGGGAGGACCCAACTGGCTAACAACTTCCTCGACGCCACAATCATCGTCAACGCGGTTAGTATAACATACATGAAATTGTTATACATAATGTACTCGGTAATTAAGAATTTTGACTAAATCCATTGGTAATGCAATCTGTACTCCAAATACGATGGACATTATCTCACGTACTACAGTTAGTTTATTTTTGCCAGATCTAAGTTGAATTTTGTATCTAGGTTAGGTTAGACCAGAATAGGATCGTTGGGTTAACCCGTGATGAGCTGGGTAATAATGAACTAAAATTTGGTTCTTAAACGCCAGTCTGCATGTATTTTTTTTCTGCGATTTCCACTTCAGATAGTTTCCTTTGCTTATAGTTGTGCTGTTAAGGCATAGCACCATGAATTTGCCTTTTTTTTTTTTTAAACCTTCGATATCATGTAGTTCGCCGACTTTTTAAAGTGTCAAGAAAGCACAGCTAAAATCGAGAGAATGAAGTGGTGAATTTTAAGGAACTTTAAAGCAAATACACAATCTGAACATAGCTGAACCTGACTGAAGTAGGAGGTAGACAGGTTTTTTCAGGCTTCATGGTATTATAGTTGAGAGAGCAGCTCATTCTTGCATCGAGGTACACGCCAACCATACCAGTTAAACTATTTTTTCATCGTCTTCCTCTTTGCTCAACGCATTACGACATGCTTTTCGAATTTGTTTCTTTGAAGTTAATCACAGGTTTATGTAACCCAGTCTAATTTAAATTATGTTTCACTAATCATGTTTGAAATAAAATACAATTTTAAGAAAAATAGGAAACGTGGAATGGTTGATGTTGAGCAAAACGTCAACACTTTACTATTAAGACTAAATGTACATTATACTATTGTTCATAAAGACAGCGACAGTAGTGCAGGTGTTATGTTTCCTGCAAATGACTTATTCCATTGTAATAGCAATCGCTGTATGTTTGAAATCTATAGGAAGAGGGAGAATTCTACAAGCAACCATTGTTTTACGCCCTGGGTCACTTAAGTAAGTTTGTATTGCCTGGTGCTCAACGCATTTCGACTACCACGACACAGTCTACCCTGGATGTTGCTTCCTTCCTCGACACAGCTGGTGGTACTGTTGTTGTTCTCCTCAACAGGTGAGAAAAATATATATATAATACAACACCACGTAGACTAGATGTACTCAGCTGTTGCACACCGAGTGATGTATTATCCAGTGTATAATACATTGGAAGTTTACTATAACCTTGAACTCTTCTAAGGATAAAAACATTCTGGAAGGTTAGACAGAAGGAATATTGTGAAATTACTGACCCTGGCAGTTGGTAGGTCCTAAAATTTTACGATGATAAAGCTGTGATGAGGCTATTTCCCTTAAGTGGGTCGATAGGTTAGGGCCGCATGAAGACCCTTAAGAGTTCATCCCCTACAAACTTGAATAGACAATTACAGTCGGTAATTATCTAGCTTCTTTCATTTAATATCTGAACAGAAATTTTCTGCTAACGATGCCATTATTATTACTGTACATGCTTAAGCCAATCCAATTCCTCTAGATTCGTTTTGTAGGCTAAATTAGGTTTAATGTCAATTAAACATATTAAATCAATTATAACATATTATTGCAAATAATGTATGTTAAGAGGCTGTTTTGATGCGCGAACAGAGGTCGCATAACTACCCAAGTCCTAGAATTATAACAGTAATATCTCTTAAGTTCACATTTTAGTTTCAGTCTCCTTAATGATGATCTTAAACTACATGTAAAATATTCGACCTTTGCTTAGGAAAATGTATTGTTTTATTTAGCACATAACAGTCATTCGCAATCTGATAAAAATATATGATCTCCATTTGTTTCTGATTACAGAGATGACAATGAGTTGGATGTCTCCGTAAACGATGGTTCAGGCATTTATGTCAACCACAGGCTGCCTGCCAAATCCCTCCAGACCATCCTGTATTAATATTATGTATTCCTTGGCAATGTTTTTTTTTCCAATTGAGTCACTGTAATTCTGTCAATGGGCTTATAGGATCCAGCCAGACTTGGAACACAGGAAGTACTGAGGCGACGAAACTACCAAATCGAAGTCCCACACTCAACCAGAACTGTGTTCAGGAAATAAATGAGGTTTTTCATTCTCTTGCTTTAGTGTCCTTATAGAAAAATACGCAAATTTTGCAAAAGTGTGCAATTTGAGATATGTATATATAATATATATATATATATAAATATATATATATATATATATATATATATATATATATATATATATATATATATATATATATAAATATATATATATATATATATATATATATATATATAAATATATATATATATAATATATAATGCAAAACAACCACTCTGAAAGAATAGAGAAATTCCAAGCGCTTTCGTGACTACTCACATTATCACATTTTAAAATCACCTGTTTACTGTGATCTTATTGCATATATATATATATATATATATATATATATGTATTATATATATATATATATAATATATATATATATATATATATATATATATATATATATATATATAGTATATAATATATATTCACGAACGAGTGGTTTTAAGTAAATAACAATACTTCGACAAGCCGGAGATCGAACCCTCGATATTTTAGGATACTTCCCAAAAATCCCGCCAAAATTCCGAGACGCTTTCGTCCACTCGGCCATCAGTGCTTCAAAACATCAGGTGCCCATTACCACTGGACACGTCACCTTTGATGCGAGCACATACGGCCGTGGCCCTGACCTGTAGCTTTTACGTCTACGTATATCCTCGCATCAGGTGTGACATGACCAGTTGTACTGGGCGCCTCATATTTTGAAGCGTCCCGGAATTTTGGCGGGCTTCTTGGAAGGCGTGCTAAAATATCGGGGATTTTAAGGATTTTAAACCATATGACTCACCAAACCATAATGCAAACCAGACACCAGCAATGGTTGGGATTTACTTCAATCTGTATCATATTAGGCTGACGAGATATATATTATCATAAACATGAATTATGTGAAGCGCTAATCCTATGTGGGTAATTCAGCGTAAAAAGTAGTTTAGCCTCGACCCTCCTTTCTCTAATAACGAAATAAACAACAGTACACGAACTGAGAGAGAGCGAGGCAATATTCTGGTGCACCAACATTCATCATTATTTAGGAGATGACTACCAACAACACTCAATAAACCTCTTACTTGACGATGTAGTTGGCCCAAGGCTGCCACATCTCCTTTAATAGTATTCCTGAGCCATTAAACATGCCGTTAGTCTTCATCCACGTCGGGGAGGACCAGGGAGAGCCGAACAACTTTATTTGGTAAGGTGACAACTCCTTAGCTCGCTTGATCAGGGGAAGCTGCGGGGATATATACGTTGGTTTGTTAAAGCAATTTCTCGAACTGCCTTGAAATGTTTGTAAACTGTAACTTTTTTATTCAGACACACTTTCGGGATTCTCGAAGTGTCTTTAATTCGCGGAAGGGGTGGGGCTTGAACCCATGGCAAATGGGTCCTAAAACTCAGAGGCCAGTGCGCTAACTACTAGGCCAACTGGCCGAGTACTTAATGCATGGCCTGTGAGTTCTAGGACCCCGTTCCGTGATTTGTTTGCAATCGTATAATTGCGAGTCTGTGAGTCTTTGTGTCATCCTAATACATAGGACATCAGTCACAATGAATTACTGAGGACCCCTAGTGAGCTACGGGCGAGTATCTTGGCTGACACCTGTTAGCTTCGGAAGATGAAACCTCAAAATAAAGCTTCTGATTGACATCGTCACTTTCTAATGATAATAACTTGGCATAAGTTTTGTGGAAAAAGAAGAAATGGATTTTTTACTTTATAATTGTAATCATCCTCAGTTAGGTTCCAATGTACAAGGTCGACGTCTCCTTCAACGTCGTCGTAGGAATATGGTCTGGTGGAGAAGTCGCAGCCAGCAATAGGGATACGACATAAGTTGTATCCAATCCCTTCAGGAGCGAAGTAGGATCTGCCGTTGTAAAAAATGGGATGCATTTTGCAGCGTATATATACATATCGAGTTTTCTTCAAAACCACAAAGGTAGCTGGTCATATCTGATATTTATATACTGAACAAACAATACTATTTAAGTTTGAAAGTTAATTTAACAAACTGGGTAAGTGCTTCAGAATTTCCGTTTATCCCTTTATATGCTACTTCAGTCGTTTATTTTTTCCCCTGATGCAGTGACCACCCTTTGCCGAGAAACTGCATGAGTCTTGTATTATGGATCTTACCTCAGACATAATTTCATAGGGGTATACATTCGATGCTGTTTTACTTCTTCCGAATCCCTTATATTTTCTAAAGATCCTAGCTAAGACAACTCGATATTCATACCTAAGGAAGTGCTCCTGAGCTTCGCTGGGAAGACCGACTACGTTGAGACCTGTGGCGTCTGTGAAGGCGCCCCCAAAGCCGATAATGGTTTGGTACACGTCTTCCCGGTCAAGACTTACCACAACAGCATCTGGTAAGCATATTCTTGTCGGTAAATGCCTGTGTTTGCAGCATAAATATATGTCAGTAACTGCTAATAAGCCTTCTATTTATATAACTTCGGGTTGTGGTTAACATATTAGGCAACAAACACTTCAAACACTACTATTATTTGTAAATACTTACGAAAATTACATAACTAGTGAATATATCAATCTTTTGAAAAACAGTAAAGAGTGATTTGAAACCAGGACTTCAACATGTACGTCACTCACGCTGCTAACCATACTGTCAACACATCATGAATATTGCACCAATTCTTGTGAATGTGTGTTATCTCAGGGCTGTGGTAAATATGGGTAAGCCATCGGTGACTGCTGTCATGGCAAACTGTAGAGCCATATAGATAAACTTTATTCAGGAAAATCTCTATCAGAGCTTCCCATTTCCGCACTAGTCTCTCATAAGTTCGCATGTCTAAAACGCCACCCCAATTAGATCATTGGTCTGATTGGGCTTCTGCAATGGCCTGCCATAGGACCACATACCCAACTTTCATATATCCTTAAGAGGCTTGTTGGACACACCGTCTTACTGCGCCATGACAGAGCCGACCCCATTAAACTTGTTATTACTGTATTTGACTAAGATCCGTGTCAGTTTTTTTCTAGGCCCTACGAATAAACTAACAACATTCTTCTTTTACTGAATGCATTCTTGCCAGCATCCACTACTCACCAGGGGTTTCTTCGCTGGAGACAGGAAAAGTTTCCACGTCGAACCTGAGACCTTCCTCACTAGTAGTGACGACGGTGAAGCTACCGTCTTCCGGGAAGTCGATGATGCCTGGCTGATCACAGTAGGATGCGTCACAGACACATACTAAACCATATTCCTCCTGACGAGAGTTACACTTATCTGAAAATATTATGGTGGAATTCTACTATCTAGATGGCGTGAATTCAGTTACTAGGCTAGACGAATGAGTAACTGTACGGAACAATTGTTCATTCGTGTGAAGTTTTGACTCGTGTATAATTGGTCATTGGTTGAACCATGAAGAAACAACGTCATTTGCATTAAGTTGAAAAATATGTTTATCGATAATACTGTAATGTATTTATGTTGATATGCTGAGATTAAATTTTAATTTTGGAAGATTATGTTAGTTGTTAATATTGTTCCTGAGTATTGTTGATAACAGTGTTGGAAAAACGGTAAAAGTTGATAATACTGCATGTTTGTGGTAGAGGAGTGACGCTTTTGAGTTTTAAATTTCACTTTTTTGTTGAGTTATGACGAACAAATGAATGATATCTTATCGTAGTGGTTACCTTGTGCCGATATGCCCCAGAGGAAGACTAACAAAAGCACTACAGTCCTCATGTTAACTGCGATTTTTGTATACTCTTCCTGTAAAATACAGACGTATGATTGGTAGCACACGACTTACTGTGGTCGAGTGTCGCTGCACATAGCAGGTACAATATAATATATGATGTCATAGGGTAGAGTCAACCTTGTTTGCAGCTGCTGGTTCTGGCAAGTCTCCCACATTTTGTGAACAACGGTTCCCAAGCTGACGCAAGTTAAGTTTTTTTAAGAATGTGATTTCCTCGATGGTAATTGTTTATTATTATAATCAAATAAGGTCATTTTTTTATTTACATTATTACTATTAAAGATTCGCCGGTATTCTCCCGGCTCGGACCTTTCCCAAGTGGTGGCCCGGCCTTGGCTCCCTGTCTAGGGAGTGTCTGAGACCTAAGTCTCTCATGGGAGGAGGCACAGGTACCCCCTCATCTTTGGGACCAACTGTCTCCAGGCCTAGCCTCATTCCCCGCCCTCACGGGGATCGTAGGGAGAAGCTAGGCCTCTCTGGTCTGCCATCCCCGCCCCAAGGGGGCTAATGGGAATGCCAGGCTTGTGAGCAACAAGCTCTGGCTCAGGCACCTACCCTACCCTAGAAGGGCTGGGCATGGTGTCGATTTTTTATGTACATATTGATCACTTCTCATAATTTTGAAAAATTTACGAAGACGTTTTCGAAATATGTTTGTTAAGAGATTTTTATAGTGTAGCTTGAAGATGAGATTTCTACTGAATATCTTGAACCAAAAAAAAAATTTTTTTTTTTTTGCAGTGAAAAATGTTTACATATGAAAAGGTGGTAAGCAGCTAATGAATATCAGTAGTAAAATACAACAAGTATGTAAATAAGTCACAATGAGCAAAAAATGTGTCACTGTTGACCACTGAAAGTATTTTCATTGTGGTGTTTTTACATTCTTTCAGGGCAGATTATAAAATGAATTTAGGTGTTATGTGACTATTATAAGAACTCCAAAATCTGGTGATGCATTACTGCAAAATGGTTTCGAATCCTATTGTAACCTTTTTTTGCTATAATGCACTTGAGACATTGTGATTATGTGTAATGAAACGATTATTTAACTTCGGGGATATATTGTTGTATGTGCCTCACAATTATTTTATGGCATCATGCTACCTGAGAACATATTTTTTTTTAATAAATTCGGTGAAGCCATGCAAAACTCTTGATTCATTGATTCTGTAGAGTTTTCATGACATTTTCTGGCCTAGCTCATACGCTTCATGAAATAATATGTCACATATAATGTCGATAAACTCATTTACTAACATGTCTCGTGAGACAGGACTTCATGGGAAGGTATAAATCCCAGACACACTCGTTCCCCTTCGACATAACACGTCTCCATTCAACAAACCCCACACCTCGGTTGAGACCTTTTTACTTATAATAATGAAATATGGTAAAATACCATGTACTACCTACGGTCCTCCCATTATCCCAGGCGTTGCATGTACCTACGGGTTTAGTGCTTCCCGCGAATGCAGTAACAACGTAATTAATTGCATCATTGTGGATGTTAATTACTTAAGACTATGAACCGCTCTAAATTTTCCCCTCAGGGAAGGTTCCATGACGCCAGTGATGGGAGTTTGATCCAAGGGATTGGAATTGTTATTCCCTACGTTGGATCGAACCTGATTGCTTCCTGTGGAAAATTGCATTTACTTGGATGTATAATTATATACATAATAGTAAATGAACAATGATAACTATTATTTATCAGTTAGACAAGTAGGAATTTGGGACACTTAGGTCGCAAAAAATGTCCCCCTTCGATACCTACAACTGTCATATCCACAAGTTGCTCTGGATCTATTAATTAAATGAAATATACATACACCAGGAATGATGGTAAATATATAAATTTGTGGACTGTATATTAAAAATAATAAATGGTTATATATATACACAATTACATAACAGAAGGAAAATATATCTTAATATCACTCACCAATTTGACTGGAGATTAATGTGTATTATACCCAGAAAACCTCACTGTCTAAATTTATGAAATTACTGGCCAGAATTAAACATAAACAGACTTATCTGAGGTTCCTAGAGCTGTGTTGTCCAGTCGCCTGATACTCAAATTATGCAGGAATGCACATCCAACAATTTCGCCTCCTATTTGAGAGGTGTCAGCCCAATTTTAACCTCTAGAGCACGAAAAATTCTTCCCATTCACTCTAACGTTCTGTTCAATTCAAAACCAAGATGGAGAGTCTCGTCTGCGCAGACGCAGGCTTTCCGTTTTCTATGACAAATATTATTAAATACAGTATGGCCATCTATTTACATATAAATACTGAATTTCTGGAAAATATATACAGTATTTTCCATACTTCCCTTTTCCCCAGGAGCACTATATGACCCTTACGTCTTTAGCGCTACCCAATATGATTATGAAAGTGATAATTATAATAATACATAATAATTATAATAATAATCATAATTTGATACCCTTTCCTTACATTTTTCGGAGTAGTGAAAGTTAAAAACTAGGATGCAGAAAAGCAAAAAATGTCGGATTTTGTTTATTTGAGATTTAGTCAGACTTTGGTGACCATATTAACCAATAATAACATATAATAACACCACTATTGTATTAATGAATAAAAGAGTGTTTTAACGAATAAATATTGCGAACAAATCCTCACGTTCATAATGTTACAATATCAACGTTCTTGAAACAAGGTGCTGTATGACCCTGGTGGTTTAGCGCTTAGTTTTAACTATAATTATGATTGAAACAAGGTAAAAGAAATTGATGGTTGTTTAGAGGAATGTATTGTTCATCAGATGTTACACTCGGCCCAGGCTTTAATAAAAATTTAATTGTAGTTATGCATCCTCATGGAAGAGTACCATCAAGGCATCAGTAGTGAGATGTAAAAGATCCTGCAGGATAGATGTTAGATGGTGTCCTGCATGTCCTTTACTGGCAGTAGGATACTAATGGAGGATTGTCTGAATGGCTTTGGCAGGTGTCTTGAAATTAAGAAAATTGCCGGAGTTATCATTCACTGTCACATCTATCTCACTGTCACCTCTGAAACCAAATATTAAGATAATTAAGTTTTATGTAGCATAGCTTTCATACAAACCAAAATTATATATATATATATATATATATATAATATATATATATATATATATATATATATATATATATATATATATAATATAATATATATATATATATTGACAAAACATTCACAAAAATACGATAGAAAGTAAAACATAGGTAACTCAGAGCTACATGTCGAATACTTCGTCCAGCTCCCCGGCGGTGCGCCGCATGCCCAGAGGCATTTCCTCTCTGGATCGCAACACTGAGTGTCTGAAAGAGGAAGCTGGTCGCCCTGTGGTCCTTGGTTTCTATGATAAGCTTTTCACCCAGCTCTATTAGGAACTTTAGAGCACACTTGCCCCATGCTCCAAGGGTCTCCGACCCTATTGGGATGAAGTTATAGCAAGGGGGAAGGTCTTCATATTTGCGGATCTTCTGGGTCTCCCTGTGGCTGGCAGTTCCACCCCCCTTCCACTAAGGAGTATGGCAAGTAGGTGTCTGCCAATGTGGCGGCACATGTGTAGTCCCAGGCAATCTGCTTTCCATCCTTCCAAGGTAGCACAGTGGCTCCATCAGGACGCTTTTGACTTCCGTCAGACCTCTGCACTTGGGGTTCCCGTTGAGCTGGGCAACGGGCTGTGGCGAGGCTTCTCTTTATGATGTCATTGACCTCCTCATGCCTGGCATACTTCCCTTCTGCTGTGTGACACACGAGACCATGAAGTCCGAATTGATCAGCTGTCGCCCTGCCGCAAATACACCTATGTTCGGTGAGGATGGGGGCGGCTAGGCGAAGAGCAACACCAATCCGAATGGCCTGTGTGTGTGTGTGTGTGTGTGTGTGTGTGTGTGTGTGTGTGTGTGTGTGTGTGTGTGTTGTGTGTGTGTGTGTGTGTGTGTGTGTGTGTGTGTTCATTATTACGTCAAAAGCTGTATGTTAAATGTTGACATCCTGGAGGGTGGTAGAATACCTTAATTAAATAGAGATGGGTTGTGAAATAATCTTAGGCAGGATAACAGCTCGGAGCCCGAAAATTCAGCTTCGTAAAACAAAGGCTTATAAGTTCCTCAGTTATTTGGGAGCATGTTAGTGACAATAATAATTCTATACAAATATAACCCATCCTCACATCATGAGTGATATGTGTGTAGAACATTTGAAAGTTGCCGGGGCTTATCAAGACATGACCATGCCAGTCATGGCGACTTTTTTTTTAAGAATTTAAGACATTTTAATACACGTTTAATAGGTTTATCTATCATTACATAATCTAAAATACAATGAGATGTATTATCTAGTGGCAGGGAAACTTCAGAAACTAATGTTGTTGATTAGAATACTTTATAAGTACGTTGTAAGTCGTGGCAATACATTGGTAGGGTATACCGACAGCATGTATATAAGGCACACAATAATATGTCATAACCAGCATTGTGGGTCTTATTTACACATTGTAAGTTAAGAGTCAATAAACACTCACGTGTTAAGAAGAACGACGACGGTGCGGCCTGTGGGGTCCAGGAAAGCCACGGTCTCCACCGAGTTACTTGTGGTCACTGAGTGTATGCGTTGAGATTCAGGCAACACAAACTTGCTGAAGTGACCCAGACCGTAGAACATTGGTTGCTTGTAGAACTCTCCCGCATCCTGTTCAGTGTACAATGAATTTTCTGTATTTTCGAAGGGATAATAACGTTACACATTTGTACTGCCCTAAAGGATGACGTTTTTGGTTGACTAGTACCTACTTCAGGCAATTATTTTACCATTATTGAAAAAAAAGAGATGTTATGTTAACATTTTCATAGTTCAAAAATTTAATGAGTCGGCGTGCACGTTACAATAATATTTTAATGTCAGTGTTATCGTGAATATTTTTTAAAACTCTATACTGAAAGTAAAAAAATTACAGGAGCTTTCTGGTAAGTAGGGAAAATTATATGATGTTAGGAAAGAGCGTAAATTATACTAACAATATCGACTATAATGGGTGCATCGAGGGATCCATGGGCCCAGTTGGGTCCTCCCAGCCTGTTCACAGCCATATTCCAGTCCACCCAACCAGCTGAATAATGGTTTATATCCTGCAGGGATAAACGGTTATTTAATATACTGTAATGTCCTCAAAATTTCAGTTTAAGCACTATTTTAAAGGTTCCGGGTATTTATTCAGTGTTGGGTTTAATTAACCCTATAGCTTGCCTGCCTGTGTTATGTTATAGATATATCTTTTCACCACTATCCTTATGATGATACATCAATAAAACCATGAATTAAGTACTCACAAATCCGAGTAAAGATATTTATAAACATATGTAGTATATAACATGATTGTTTCAAATCTAATCCTGTCCATTTTGAATGATAAAGACAATTAATGTAATTTTTCAACATTACCTTTTAATGCAACTGAAACCGTAAGGCTAATATATCAATTTGGAAAGTTTCCGTTCGCAGATTTCCCATAACACAAAATACGTATAATGCAAACTTTGATGTACAGTGTGAAGGATACTCACCTTTAAAACAAAACATTGCTCACTATCTTGAAACATCTCAAAAGTATATTTAGCGATCTTTTGGTTTTAAATAGAGTGCAAACCTAGCTCTGGTAAGCCAGCAGGCGCTTTACCAGTTGACGGTCATTAACTAATTAAGACTTGTGTCATGAATCACTCTCCTGTTTCCTGACAAACTTAACACCACCATCTAGGAAACACTGAAGACTGATAGATCAGCAGGGCTTTACCTCTATCATGGAGTGAGTATATTCCTCTGTGCGAGTCCACGACCCAAGGTGCACATGATATTGTCCATCCTCGCCGACTCCTGTTAAAGCCAAAAGTATTAACTCTCCGCAAACTACATATTGAAAATATAAACTAACAACGTTTCTGTTCGCTTTGGAATATTATTAAGTCACGATTGACTAGATCATTATCCACTCAAGCAACATGAAGGAAAGTCGTGTAGCTTGTGTTTTAGCCTCATTAAGATATATTAGTGTGCTTTTTACGTTAATTTCAGTTGAAGTTGCATACTCTCGGGTATCAAACTATCCAAAGAAATGTTTTTATTCGTCATTTCCATTACGTTACCAAAATAACTTTACCTTGACATGCCTCGGTGTATAGAAGAAATTTCTCTGGAGACAGAGCTTGGGTCTGATCCAAAACGTCAGCACTCACATACTTGTCTGAGTACCAATGTACTGCTGTACCGTCGATGTACTGATCACACTCTGGGTCCTCAAACAACTGTACATCCAGTTAGTGTTAAGTTAGATTGTTGAGTTTAAAATCTAACATAGGATAAAGCTAAACTCACTATATATAATCTAATAGAATTAAACACTCACTGTATATAAACTGAAGAATATACATCCCACGGTGTATATAGGAAGTGTTAACATCTACTGTCTATCTGTTAGCCACGATATTATTATTGTTATAATTGTGAACTTCATACCAAGAAATTTATTGAAAACTGCTTCTGTCAACTTTTCTGTACTCGACTGAAGAAGCTTACTGTGTAGGCGAAACGTTTCGAAATAAAGATACCTAACTGTTGCATATGTGTCTTACCTAACAAAACTGCGAGATAAAACTGAGCAATTGAGATAAATGCACAAGTGGATTAATGTTTCATTGTTTTAGAAAATAAATTTTGATGAGATATTCCATTCACAGTCCTTTCAAGGAAGTGCCTTGACGTCGAAGAAGGATCTCCTATAAATTTCCTAAGATTAATTCAACACGATTGTCTTCCATTTCACACAAGCTTATATGACTAGTTTAATGCTTTATCATCAGCATCCTCATGATCAACATAATAATGACAATGATAATAATAATAAGTTTATTTCCAGTATTTTAAGAGTTAGTACCTGAACAAAGGCATAGTTACCAGCCAAAAGCCAGATTACATTTACGAGCCAACATAAGTCAAAGCTCTGGAATTTCTAGTAAAAATTAAACGAGAATGAAATTCATATATTCCTCATTTATCTGAATATATTAGGTATTTTTACAGGGCGGTGGGAAATCGACAATGGTTTCCTTTGATTACCAAGGCTGAGTTTTTATCATAATTTCGTGCTAGAATGTAATGATATGATCTTATAATAACAATATAATATATCTTTATTTCTACAAGTACACGTACAAGGTGCACAAGCCTAGGTTACATCAATGACATACAATGCAGAACATTTCGAGCAAATTAGGTCAATTTTGTCCCAGGATGTAAACCACACCCAGGTACCCATTTTTTAATGATGGGTGAACATAAGCAGCCGGTGTAAGGAAACACGCTCAGCGTTTCAACCCTAGCCGGGAATAGAACAAGGACCCTCACTATGTGAAGCCAGCGCCTTGCCACTAGGCCACGGGCCTGGTCCGCGGGCCGCATGTAGCCCTTCTAGGAAATAGATGCGGCCCTCACATCAAATTACGAATTCACTTTTATTTAGGTCTCACACTGCAGTGTCAACAAAAACCGTGTGGCCCTTATTACACATCTGACCATCAAGTGTAGCCCACTTGTGTAGGAAGGTCGCGGACCTCTGCTGTACAGGAACCTGAGAATTCTTGATGCTATTGATTTGCTCCAGTGATTAACGATGGTTGTAAGGGATGGTTTTCACTGAGATAATTTATTTCTTTATATTTTATTGTGCGTAATAGTACCCTGAGAGCTTCTGTAACATGATGCTTTTGAATATATATATATATACAGTCGACCCTCGAATTTAGTCGTGCCTTTTCTGTATGCAAAACTATTTTTATTATCTGTAAAATGTATTTTTTGTTAATATTTTTGGGTGTCTGGAATGGTTTAATTGGATTTACATTATTTCCTATGGGAAATATTAACAAAAAAATACATTTTCTAGAAAATAAAAATAGTTTTGCATACAGAAAAGGCACGACTATATATGTATATATATATAAATATATATATATATATATATATATATATATATATATATATATATATATATAATATTATATATATATATATATATATATATATATATATATATATATATATATATATATATATATATAATATAATATATATATATATATATATATATATATATATATATATATATATATATATATATATATATATATCAATCGAACATTAAAAAGGGCTATAATTTAATATAATTATAATAAAAAACAAGCTCTAAACCCACTAAGGTCAAACAGCGGGCTAAAGTTTAAGCATTAAATAATGCATTTAAGGTACTACTTCATCTATGTGTACTGTTACCAGTGTTTAACAAATGTAACAGATATTATCTAAATGATACGTAATATTACGTATTGATAGGTGTAAGCAGGATGGGTATGGGACACTTGATAAAGATGTCAAGCTAACTAATAGGCTGGTGAGAACCAGCGTTATCAGCGCACCTTATCATAAATAGCTGATATTTTCAAAGACTTACTGGTATAACATAGGAGGGCAGCGTGTCCCTGTTGAAGTCATCAACCATCATCTTGAGACGTCTCATCCCAGCAGCCTCCAGTGTGGGTCCCAGGTTTGTCTTGAGCCAGTCTCGCATGTCCTCCGCCGACCATCCTAAACAGTTTATAGCCCACTGCCAAAACAAAAAGAAATAACATTTCACAGATTTTTTATCTTTCAAATATACATTAAATATATTTAATAGTATTAGTTTTCAAGTATATAAACATTTTTAATCTTTAAAGAAACCAAAGATTCAGACTTACATCAGACTCATAACAGAGTGGTTCATTCTGAGGAGTGAGACCCCACAATTCAGCTCCTTCTGCCTCATACGCTTCAACGAACCTGTCACAGCAAGTGTGAAAGGTATTTATTTATCACAACATGGAAGAAAATAAAAACTACGTCCAACAAAGACCAAGAACCAATATGAATACAACATGACACATGACCTACTGATTTTGTGTGTCAGAATTTCATTTTTGTTTCCTTTAAGGAGGGGAGGGGGTACTGCCTTAAAGCTGGTGAAGAGTTCTTAATCCGGCCTTAACCGATTTACAGGTTTCATTTGAATTTAATAATCATTTGTCTTTGTTTTTTGTGTCTTTTTTTTATCAAATGGCACTGGGTATACAATATGAGTTAAATTCCCAAGACATTAGAGGTTTAACATATTACTGGTAAAGGTTTTGATTTTATGGATGTCATGAAAACTATATATATCGCTGCTGGTTTATGCTATAATACATCGACACCATGCCCAGCCCTTCTAGGGTAAGGTAGGTGCCTGAGCCCGAGCCTTTAGCTCATAAGACTGTCATTCCCATTTGCCCCCTTAGGGCGGGGATGGCAGACCAGAGAGGCCTAGCTTGTGGCTAGGCCTGGGGACAGTTGGTCCCAAAGATGAGGAGGTACTTGTGCCTCCTCCCATGGGAGACTTAGGTCTCAGACACTCCCTAAAGAGGGAGCCAAGGCCGGGCCACCACTTGGAAAAGGCCCGGGCCGGGAGAATACCGGCTAATCTTTAATAATAATAATATGCTATAATAATAATTATGTACTAAACAAAAATTATGTCTTCAATACATTGCACAAAATGCTCAGATAACTTTAATGTCTTCGTGAATATATTTATTTTATTTCCTGTACAGCAAGTACACAGAAATGTTGTTATATTATGTGCAGAAAAGGAAGACCAGTCCAAAATCTTCCTAGGTCAAGGTCTTGTGACTGAATGCGTAACAAGATGAACATCACCTCAAGGCAAGGAACCTGCTCGAATTAAATGCATTATTATTAGATAACAATATATATTAAATTTTCTTCGGAAGATGTCGACTTTAGGTGAAAAATCGAATAATGACTAGAAACTAATTGGCTGTCCAGGACGCCACAATACGAACAAGCATCACAAGGGTTAGGATTTGATTAAAACTGTATCATACTAGGTTCACTAAATATATATCATCACATGCATCACGAATTACGTGAAACGCTAAGCCCACGTGGATAATCACTTCAATCCTACCCCTTGTGATTCATTTGAAGTGATTAAGGTCCAAGGAGAGAAACGTCTTCTGCAAAAGTGCGTCCATCTCCCCACTACTTATCTGTACATAAACTTGTAGAAAGGCAATATACTGTTAGAGCGCCATCATAGTTGAGAAGTTGGCTACCAGCTAGCACGCACAATAACCCTCTTACTCACTTGACAATGTAGTTGGCCCATGGCTGCCACATCTCCTTTAATAGTATTCCTGACCCATTAAACATGCCGTTAGTCTTCATCCACGTCGGGGAGGACCAGGGGGAGCCGAACAGCTTTATTTGGTAAGGTGACAACTCCTTAGCTCGCTTGATGAGGGGAAGCTGCAGGGATATGTACTTTGGTTTGTTAAAGTTTTTTTAGGGATTCTCGTAGCGTCTTAAAGTGTTATCCTAAAGATGTGTCGGTACAATTCACTGCACGAGACGGGTTTACTCTCGTAAGCTAGCGATGAATAGCGCTGACACGTTCTACATTATTGGATTTTAAAACTTGAACTTCGAAATAAAGTTATCGATTGACACTCATATTCCGAGGACAATACCCCAGCTAACGTTTTATTGAAAAAAAAAGAATATTTACCTTATAATTGTAATCCTCCATAGTTAGGTTCCAGTATACAAGGTCGATGTCTCCTTCAACATCGTCGTAGGAGTATGGTCTCGTGGAGAAGTCACTGCCAGCGATAGGGATGCGACACAAGTTGTATCCCAGTCCCTCAGGAGCGAAGTAGGATCTGCCGTTGTCAAACAATGGGATATGTTTCTGAGCGAGTATATAAAGAGATTTTTTTTTGCAAAACTATGAAAGTAGCTGAATATATCTAATATTTCTGCAAAGAAAAAGTCATACAAAGCAACTTTTATGTAAGAAAGTTAATTTTACAAGCAGGGCAAATATTTCATCGTTTGTCTATATCCCTCATTTTTTGTCCATCTTTTGAAAAGCAGAATGAGATTTGTAGTATAGATCTTACTCTGCATGATTTCAGTTAGATATATTTTCTACTCTGCCTTATTTCCACCGAATTCCTTATAATTCCTGACGCTTCTGACCAAGAAATTCAGTTATGAGGCCACTACCCCAATTCCCTTACCTAAGGAAGTACTCCTGAGCCTCGCTGGGAAGACCGACTACGTTAAGACCTGTGGAGTCTGTGAAGGAACCCCCGAAGCCGATAATGGTTTGATATACGTCTTCCCGGTCCAGAGTTACTACCACAGCATCTGGTAAACACACTTGTCAGTAAAGGTCTGTGCTTTTGTTTCTAGTTTCATATTCTAGTTTCATATTCATATGCTATTGATCCTTATATTTATATAACATTGGGGCGTGGTAAACATATTAGGAACTAGACATTACATTGTACACATTATTTCCTGGCAATTTAGTGTCCTCATAACTCAGCCCGCTTCAAATAATACTAGTAATTATATACCGAAAATGCATAATTCGTGAATACAGTATTTTAATGTATGAAAGAGCACTACTAGGTGATTTGAAACTAGGTTTTACAGCAAAGTCACTCACGCTACTAATCATGGCATAAACAAATCTTGAATATTACAGTCAACTGTTAAATATATTATATATATATTATTATATATATATATAATATAATATATATATATTATATATATAATATGTGAACTCAGGATTGTGGTAAGCCAGCGGTTGCTGCTACCATGGCTATCCCATTTTCTGGAGTCAAAGATAAGCTTTGCTTACAAAAATTCACGGACACTGGAATAAATTCATACAATATTTCGAGGGCATGGGAATGTGGTAGGCAAGCAACAGTGATATATTTTGTAGATATAACCTAAAATAACTCAATATAGTTCTTAGACGCCATCATATCGCCTCTCCTAACAGTGTCGGAACCACATCCTCAAGGCCAACATCCTCTTAATTATGTGAAACATGTATGCTTCCAAATCAAGGAACTAGTGAGTTTAGCGCTTTTTGATAATAATAATAATAATAATAATAATAATAATAATAATAATAATAATAATAATAATAATAATAATAATAATGATAATAATAATAATAATCCAAATCAAGGATGACTTAACCTTAACTAATAAATAACCGCATTTCATGTCACAGGAACATTGCAGTAGGCCTACTGACCCTTGATTCATGTCAGGGTAAATATGAGTTACCTATTTAAGTTTTTAAAGTGAAATAAAAATCAAATATGATTCCCAAACATTTTTTGATAATTTTACATCGCTATCTTCCTAATGTCCCTTAGATGTTTTAGCAAACTATCTTGCCACGTCCCCACCATAAGGCCGGCACCGCTAAATGACAAAGACCTATGTCAGGTTTTTTTTTTTGTCCCTAACGGATACACTTTCCCTGAATGTGTTCTTTCCAGCATTCACTACTCACCGGGGGTCTGTTCGCTGGAGACAGGAAAAGTTTCCACGTTGAACCTGAGACCTTCCTCACTAGTAGTGACGACGGTGAAGCTACCTTCTTCAGGGAAGTCGATGATGCCTGGCTGATCACAGTAAGATGCGTCACAGACACATACTAAACCATATTCCTCCTGACGAGCGTTGCACTCATCTGAAAATATTATGATGGAATTCTGTTTTGTAGATCTCATGAACTCTGTTACTACGCTAGACGAGCATAAGTTGCATGACAACAGAACAGTTACTCATTCGTGTGAAGTTTTTACTCGTGTTTTTT